CCCCAAAACCCCAAAACCCCAAAACCCCAAAACCCCAAAACCCCTTCTACTTAAAATATTTTGAAATTAAGAAACAATATGGACTTTAGTAAGGGATCCTGGAAACCAGGAAAAGCTTTTAATGTTGGAGACCTCTCCTCATTGCTGGATGATAAGTCAGCAAACAGGATAGCTGCTGATGTTAAGCATGCCATGCCGCCTAGGCCTAAGAAGAGTCAGGAAGGCTCAGGTATTCTCAACCCTTATGTAAAAGCCTCAGACTATGGGAAGAAAGGTCATGCTGGCTACAAAGCTCCGAAGAAGGCCCAGAGCCGAGGAAGCTCCCAAGATCGAGACCTCATGTCAACAATGATGAGTCGGCTCACTGCTTTAGAGAAGGTTAACAGATCTTTGAAAAAGGAAATTCAAGAGAAATCTATTCGTATTGAGAACCTTGAGAAAGAGAATGAGCGCCTAGAATTCTCCTCTAACAAAGATTACTACAAGAAACATATTGAATTAGAAGGAGAAAGGAATAGGTATAAGAAGCAATGTGAAGAAATGACCGTCTTCTTAGAAGACTATGGCTTAAAATGGGTGGGAAATGACTCTAAAAATGTTGAAGGCAAGTTTGACTCTGATGCTATCCACAAAGAGCTCGCACACCAAGCTCCTAACTATAGGAATAGCCTTCCCAGCGAGATTGACACAGAGATCCTGTCTAGAAGAATCGAGGAGCTAAATTTTATTGCTGAAAAGAACAAGTTGGTAGAGACAGATGGTGCTTTTAAGTTTAAGAAGCATGATGAATTTCCCATTTGGTTCTTCAAGAATGGGCTAGTTCTAAGAGGATTTCCGTTCTATCCATACTACTCAAAGGAGGCTCAAAGTGTGCTGTCAGATATCCTTGATGGGTACTTCCCATATGACCTCAAGAAACTATACCCTGAAGGTGTACCCCTAAAGCCAATAGATAGAGTCGGTGAGGTATACAACCCTAATGAAGAGAAAAAGGAAAAACAGTACAAACAAGTACAAGATTTTGACAGTGAGCCTGTCACCAGCATCAGCAAGAAGGAATTCTTGGACAGATTCCCAAAGAACGTCATCAAGAACGGCAAGATTATCCCGATTAGGGATGAGCTTGAGAAGAAATTCAAAGAAACTAAGAAGCTAGACTTGTCTAAGCTCAACACAAATGAGCCGATTGAGATCGATACCCATGTCATAGAATCTGAAACTGATGGTAAGGCTTTTACTAAACATTTATTTAGGTGTTGAATATGATAAGTCTGAGATTGTTTCTCTCAGGATTAGGACTGAGACAGGAAAAAGAAACTTGTTGTTAAAGCTTCTTGTAACTGACACGATGAACATCATATACGAGTACATCCAGCCATACCTTGAAGACGGCACCTCTAAGGTAGAGATCAGAAGCAACTTCCCAAGAAAGACTTATGAGAAAGAGGGAGCAGAGAACTTAAAACAGTTAGGATTATTCCCATCTGCTGCTTTGGTGATTCATAAGGTCTAGATGATTCAATATTGCCTCAATATCTTGGGGTTTTGGGGTTTTGGGGTTTTGGGGTTTTGGGGTTTTGGGGTTTTGGGGTTTTGGGG